GGGGGGGGAGCCGCCAACCTCGAACTTAAAACTTACACTCACTATTTTCTTCGAAAACATACGTGAGTTCCACAAAATAGTGAGTGTAAGTTTTCAGTTCGAGGCTTGGCGGCTCCCCACACACCATTACAGACACATAGCAACGGGAAAGAGAACATTACAGACATACCCCCCATTATAGACAGCCCCCCCATTACAGGCAGCCCTCCATTACAGACACCCCACCATTACAGACCATAGCAACATAGGCTACCATTACAGACAACTTCCATTACAGACCTTGGCAACTTCGTGAAAAAAAAATTCTATTCGAAATTGAGAGATAAAAATATAGCATTTTCTAATAATCGATTATCTTTAGAAAAGAACTATTATCTTTTGAAGATTTTAAATATTGGGTATTTTGTCATTAGTATAATGAAACCAACGGAGATATGTGAGTTCCACATTTCAGCCTCAAAGGGGCTGCGCTAACAAGCTTTTGCATTTGAAAATAAATATATTAAAGTCGGACAGAATGTTAATACTGAAGTATTAAGATTATGATAAATTAATAAAAATATATTTACTTCTATTAAAGATTACAAGAAGGCTTTCTATTTATTATATTCTCAATTAGTTGAAAGGACATATAATATAACATATGAGACGTGATCTGTTTCTCTGTCATATTTCAAAGACTTTGAGATTATCAATGACAAAACAAGTCATTTTTATTTTCTCAGTGTAGAAATCTTTTAGAAATCTTTTCTATATATTTTTAATTACTAAGAAATTAGGACTAATTGAATTTGACTACAATAATTTTTAATGCATACAAATATGAACAAAAAAAAAGAATTTCAAAAGATATAGCTAACATCAGAACGTTTACATCTATCCAGAAGATATTGGAATTGTATGTAGAATGAAAAATTATGTCACTAGAAATAACATTATGTTTTCTTGTGTTTATCTTAGATATTCATATGAGAAATATTATAGTGAACATCGCTAATCTTAGTACACATAATACTGGACGAAAATTCCTGCGTTACTTGACTTCAACTATTTTATGTCATAGAGATCCAAACATGTACGTGCATATAATTTACTAATAATCTAGATTAGAAATGTAACCTTCGTCTGAGGAGACCGTTTATCTGCTTAAGAATTAAAACTTTCTAGTCTTCTTATTCTATTTCATCTAATGAATCATATATTTTCCGTCGATGATTTGCTTTTGTGCTTAGAGAATGGTTTCTCTCTTTGGAGTTTCGTCAATTACTTTAGTTACAGTCTTCTTTGTTCTCTCGAGGATTTCATTTTCTAGTTTTAAAATTTTGTTTTGGTTTCACCGCTAATAGAGTTCTGAAGTCAACTCTTTCTTATTGAGAAGTTTCTGTTAATTGCAGTTCGATTGACAACGTTGTTGGACTTGAAGAAACACAGATAAGATGCATCGCAACAATACGTTGACGAATGTTTATTAGTAGATGTGAGTGTCTTATTTGCAGTGCTTGATAATTAATAAGTTAAGAGTAGTCAATGAAAGTTAGTCATCGACTTTCTCGATAAAGACAAATTTCTTTTTTGAATTATTGAACAGAATCTTATTGATATTTTGTTTGACATTGTTAGCTCGTCAAGCTTTATTAGTAATGCTGCTACTTATTCAAACATTTCGATTCATTAGAAAATGAAAGCAAAGCAAAACTGACATGTATATACACAATCGTCATTTCTTGTTGGTTACTTTTGCTCAAAAATTAGACGTGATTCAATTATTGAAATGCTATGAATAGAAAGCTAACAGATAATAGAATTGATTCTCCTGATTTAAAATCCGTAAATAGTGTCTCTACCTTTTCAACTTTCAGCAGATCGGTTTAGATGAAACGCTGTGTAAAACAAGTACATCGAAGAAAAGAAGAGATTAAACCTCAATCGTATCAATTTTCAGATTTTTTTTTCTTTCAATGCGTAATACTTTATCAAAATTTATTCAATTAAGAAAAACTTTCGAAAACTGAAAGTAAAATCAATCACAAAAAAAGAATCATGCGAATAGACGATGATATAAGTATTTTTAGTTAGAGAGTAAAATGAATCATTCTCATAGTGAACTCGGACGATTTTCTGATGACTCTTTGTTTTATTCATTGATTCACTCTTTACAGCAGTCAAACATCAAAGAACTCAGTAGATGATGAATTCTTCTATAGTTCATGAGATTTCTCTATATTTCGCATATTGAAATAGGTTTTTTTGTATCTGAATCTGTTTATGCCTATGGAATTTTTAGAGAAAAAAGAGCAATGGATGCTTCAAGTTTTTTCCATATTTTACGTCAAACTGATTACTATCGGTTCATGTCAATAGTATGTGTAAAGCTTTGAAAACTGATATAATTCATCGCGTTTTAATCATTCTATGGAGTAGAAATTATGCCTAAATAATTCCTTTTCAATGATGCTTCATTTTGTGTAAAAGTTATTTTTTAAATTATTTCAAATGATAACGCCACTCCTCTAAAGAAACAATTCTCCTTGCCCAAAAAAAGGCAAAACCTGACCTTAATAGTTAGTTCTATTCGTGCATGAGTGGTTGGAAGTGAGTTTAGGATGATGATGCACGAGTGTATAAGTCAGAAGGAAGAGAATATCTGTACAAATCGCCAGATCTACATACTCAGTATTGGGTCAAATCGCCACAAATTCAAATTCTCTATGAACTTAATTTTTTTCAGTGTAAAAGCTCTTGATCGCTTCTACTTTTTTAAAGAAAACTTAGTTCTGAACGCTGTATTATCGTAAACAGTAAACACATCATCGCTTAGAGTTTATCTACCATAAAGTTTAAGCAGTGTGCTTTTGAGAGAAGGTCGAGCACGGCCTACTGATAAAACTCGTCTCATCAGGGTGATAAAGTATTCTAATAGATAGAACATATCAAATTCTATGGAACGATGTATAATACAGATGATTTTCACATAGAGTCGATTTTGCCAGCAAACGGTCCTCTCCTCTCTTCCTTGTCCTTTGAAAAATATCGCCATTTTTTTGCATATTTTGCAATGAATCAAATCAACAAAACAAACTTTCAGTAAAAATTTATGAAAGATTAAAATGTGGAACGTGATAGATTCATTGTACTTGTTAACGAGAGCTCCACCCACTTCTATCGTATGACAAATGAAGTAAAGTGGCTTAAGATAACAAAATGTCTGTCAAAGTCGGTGAGACAGACTGCGAGAGAATGTCTCACTTTTCTCGCTTCTATATTTCAGCATTCACTTTTAATCGTACTTCACAAAAGTAGAGCGTCGATCCATGTCTTGTATAAGATAAAAGTTAAGTGTTTCTTCTTGAACGGATCTTATATTGACAACTGTGCAAAGAGTTCCACGACTAAAATGATTTGACTAGGCAAACATTGTGTGATTTGTTTTTACAATTTTCTTTTTGTTTTTCTATTAGTTTTAGGTAAGCATAGAAACATGACATGTCCGTAATTGAAAGTGACAGTTTTTTTCTCGCTTAACTTTCCTAGTTTTACATGTCGCTTTCGTCAATTGTCATGTGCTTCATTTGTTGAAAAGACATGACGTATAGAGAAAAAAAACAAGCAACGTGTAAATAGAAAAAAAACGAAGCAAAAAAAGAAGTTTTCTCAGAGAATGGAATTGGGGTATCTGAATCATTAATTAAATGAAGCTCTACCAAGCTACGACATTTTGTTTATTTCATCCATTCAAAAGTACCCTACATATGTCTATCATATGATCATTGAGAGAAATCTAAAAAATAGATATCCTTTGTCATGATCTTTTTTGTTGCAGAACTTGATCTACTTTCGTCTTCTGTCATGATCTGTTGCGGGGATAAATTCTCTATCTTCTATAGTATAAGCATCAACATTCATTTTCATTCGTGTTTGCTAAAAGATGTCTACTAAAGTGCAAGTCGAAACTTTGGACTACGAAAATCGTACGTCGATACAACTTCCTCAACTCTTTTGGAAATTCCGAAGACTGAGCTTCAAATGTTTCAAATTACATAGTCGAGTAGGTCGAAATTCCAAGGTACTTTTCTTTTCTTGTTATATACATCAAACTTTGTTTACAAATGTATATCATAAAAGTTGGAAAATTCACTGTTATCTGACGTTAATATTTTTCATCGATTCATAATAGCACGTCCAGATATCGTTATACAAAACATCGTGATAACGTAATTGTCACAGTCTACAGAGAAAGCAAGGAGTGCAGTACACTGATATCCTTTATCTCGTTGCACAATTGAATACTCATTAAGAATCATATTTCACATATGAACATATTCACCAAAAATAAAATAAAAACGAAAAGCTTACTTACTATAGTGCTACACCAGATGGCTCTAA